AGGAAGACCAAGGCGGGAGGATCGCTCAAGATCAGGAGTTCAAGACCAGCCTGAGCAAGAGTGAGACCCCCATCTCTATAAAAATAAAAAAATTTAAAAAAGAATGAAACTTGTCTCTCCTCATCAAACACTTGAATAAACTGACTTAGCCGCAATGAAGAATATATAAATTCCTCTTTGGAGAGAGCCTGGTGGACACCTATTATTAAAGGATTGGCAAAAACAAAAATCAAACACCTTACTCTGAGTGAGATACAGTACTAAGGGACAAAACAACACAGATTCAAACAAATATTTATTGTGCCAGGCATTGTTCTAGGTCAGTGGTTCTGAATTGGGGGCGATTTTGCCTACCATGGGACCTCTGACAATGTCTAGAGACATTTTCAATTGTCACAGGTGGAGGGGGCAGTACCAGCCTCTAGCAGGAAGAGGCCAGGGATGCCGCTAAACATCCTGCAATGCACAGGACAGCTCCACAGCAAAGAACTTTCTAGATGGCCCAAAATGTCAATAGCAGTGAGGATGAGAAACTCTGCTCTAGGCTCTGGGGATACAACCGTGGACAACGAACAGACAGAAATCCCTGCTCCCTTGGAGCCTGAAGTCTAGTGTGGAGAAACACTTAATAAACGCATTGCAAAATTATATGGTAGGTTATAATATAAGTACTATGGAAAAAATGCAGCTGGGCAGGGAAGACTGAGATTTTAGAAGGATAGCAACTGTAAATAGGTGGTCAAGGAAGGCCACACTGTGAGGGTGATGGGAATGATATTTAAACACCACTCAAAGTTGGTGGGGAGTGAGTGCTGTGGCTGTCTGGGCAAAGAATGTTCCAGGGCAAGGGAACAGCAAGTGTAATACACAAAAGCCCAGAGGTGGAAGGGCCTAGAGTCTTCCGGGAACAATGAGGAGACCGGCCTGGCTGGAGCAGAGGGAGCCAGGAGGGGGGACAGCAAGAGATAAGGTCAGAGCTGACAGGCAGCCTGACCACATCAGCTGCCTTGTGCCATCTTCAGGAACTTGAGTTTTACTGAGAGAAACCAGAAGCCATTGGAGGACCCCGAGCAGTGAATGGCATGCTCTGACTTACGGTTTACCACAGGGTTTTTCAACCTCAGTGCTATTAACAATTGGGGAGCCAGATAATTCTTTGTCGTGGGGGCTGTCCTGTGCTCTGCAGACGTTCAGCAGCATTTCTGGCCTCCACCCTACTAGAAGTCAGTAATGACTCCCTTCCACTGTGACAATCATAAATGTCTCCTGGTTGAGAACTAGTTTTAAGAGGAACACCGCGGCTGCTTCATTGAAAATTCACTAAAACCAGGCATGGGCAGAAGTCTGGAGACCAGTTAAGAGACTACTTCGAGGACCCAGGCAAGGGGTGATGGTGACTTGGCCTTAAGGGGTAGCAGAGGAGTTGGTGAGAAGTGGGCAGGTTCCGGACATATTTTCAACTTTAACAGATAACCTGGAGGAACCCAAGTGATAGACAAAATGACCACAGCAGTCTTAACCGTTTAATTCCAACTTTTCCCAACCAAGGCATACAAGAGGTGAAGTGCCCAGCAAAGACTCAAGACAACAAGCACTGAGAAGACCCTGAATGATGTTGTAGCCCTTTAAAAGTCACACAACAGATGTTGATGACAATACCATCAGACAACTGTGGGAAACAGTATAGGGCAATGTTGCCAACTCCATATATTTATTCACAGATTTTATTTAACTGGTTTATTTCAAAGTGCATGTGTCTGCTTCACATACAAGTTTTACAACAACTTTTTTAATTTAGCCTTCCTTTCCATGCTGGTTCAGGCCCGCACCTGTTTGTAGCATCAACGTGTGAAGCCATTTCTTCCCACGTACCCACATTTTTCCTGACACGTGCTTGCTAGCTAGCTACTGAGGACGTTCACCCTTGCAAGAAATTTTTGCTGACTTTGAAAAAGAACAGCCCCCCCCCCATCCTTCAACAGGAGCTTCGAGGCACCCATTCGGGTTTTTCCAGATGGTATTTTCCTCCGTCTCTCAAACTCATCTAATGTTATGTATCAGCTACCATCAAAAATGTTCCAAACAGTCCAGTTAATTCATTTCTTTCAGGATTCCACACACACACTCGCTCCCTCATTCTGGCCCTGTAAGCATTTGCTTATAGAAGCAAAAGCAGAGACTGCTCAGTAAAACACTGGTCCCTTCAGCCGAATGCAGATAATGCCCCAATGAGCATAACCAACAATACCCTTTTACACACTATTACTCAAACCCCCCAGCCCCCAACACACAATCTATGCTCACACACAAAACAGCCATTATGAAGAAAAACCACCAACTAAAGGCTGGTTTTATGCATCTAACTGCTCAGGAGGTTTCCTTCCAAGCTGCGTTAAGTAAGCACCTACAAAGAGGCTGCTTCAGCAACTGCAGTCGGTAGGTCTGCTGTGTCCAGATTTCCTTCCCCGACTTGGGCTCAGACACCTGCCACAGCCCTGAAGGAGAGAGATGTGGCTCGGCTGTGCACTGGAGCAAGAACCAACCAGCCGGGTGCTCTCCAGAAGCAAAGGCTGCACCAGGAATCACTTCCTGATTCAGTTGCCCATTCACCCTGCCTTCTGGGCTCTCTTCTCCTCCACCAGCCAGGCCCATTCACCTGGACCTGCCCAGAGAGAAGGACAGGGCAGGGCTGGATGCTTGCTTCTTGCAACCCAGATGGGGGAAACAACCCCTCCCCTGCTGTCACAGCCCCAAGTGACCACCGCCCGCTTAGTAAACACTGGAGATGAGACGAGCGAGGTGCCCCGAGTGGACACAGGGAGATAATGGAGAAAGCAAGACGCCCACTCCACCCCAACAGACAAGTAGAGGGGTGCGGGCAGCAAAAGAGGGCAGCGCAGAGAGAGAGGGGGCCCCACTCGAGGTTGGAGGGCGCCAGATCAGCAGATACCCTCACTCCTCTTCTGCAAAGTTGCTGAAGTCCCCAGCGCATTAGACACGTGTCGCTGCCAAGCAGGGGACACTCCCCATAACCCCCCCCAGGTGCTCCCCCGCCGTCACCCCAGCCTGCTCGGGGAAGGCCTGGATGCGAAAGCGACCGTCTGTCCGTCCGGGGAGCCCCACCTGGCCGGGGAGACACGCCCCCCGCCGCCCGGCCCCCGCCCGCGCCCGCGCCGCGGTCCGGCAGGTGAGGGGCGGGGCCGGGGACCGCACCTGGAAGCGGCCGGGGGCCGGTGTTCCCTCAGCGGCCGCGCTCCTGGGAGGCGACCGCCAGCGAGCTCCCCGCTTCCCCCCGGCGTCGCATCTCCGCGCACCCCCTCAGCCCGCCGGGACTTCAGAAAGGGGGTTCGCCGGACACCCCGCTGCCCTGGTCCCGCCGGACGGCGTCCCGGCGCGGCGCCCTCCTCCCCCGCCGCGCGCCGGGCGTCCCAGGCCCCCACCCGCCCGGCGCCGGCCGAGTCCCCGCCGCTCCCGGACGCGCCCTCCCCGGCGGCCGCGCGCCCCCTGAGGCGCGCCCCGTCCGATCCCCTCAGAGCGCCCCGGCCGGGCGGCGCGGCCCCCAGCCGCGGGGTGCAGCTCGCCGCCGCCGCCGCCCCGGGCAAGGGCACGGGGTCCTTGTCCCCGAGCCCGGGCGGCCGGCCCTCCGCGCCCCGGAGCGGCAGGCGCAGGGGCCCGCGGCCGCCCGCCGCGCCCGCTCCCGGCTGTCACCGCTCACCTGCGCTTCAGGGGCTGACTCTTGAGTTCGTAGTAGGTCTTGGGCTCCTCGTGGAACTCCTCCCCGACTTCGAAGTCCGGCACTATCCCGGATTCCGACTGCATGGCTCCCGCTTTCCCGGCCTGCCGCTGCTCCAAAGCGCGCGCCGAGCCCGGGGCCGGAGGGAAGGTGCCGGGGCCTTGGGTCCCCCCGAGCCGCGCGCCCCGCGCAGCGCCCACCTCAAGCGCGCTCGCCCGCGCGCCGCCGCCGCGCCGCCGCCGCGCCAGCCCAGGCGGGCCAGTTTACACTCGCGGCCCGCGGGAGGGGCCGGCGGCCGCGCGCTGCCTGGGAGTTGTAGTTCGGCGCGGGCGGCGCGCTCCCGGCTCGCCGCGGGCGCCGCGCCCCGCGGAAACTACAACTCCCAGAAGGCCAGGCGCGGGGAGGCGGCGTGCTGGACACCGCCAGAGCAACTCCTGTTTGGATTCATTGTCAATGTCAGCAGCTCCTCTGCCTCCTCTCTCCCCGCTTGCTTCAAGGGTACAGACTTGGCCATTTAATATTAATAAGAACGGGCTCGGCCTGCTGTCCTGCCGTCACCGACACCCCCCCCCCCCACACACACACACACACCCCACCTCAGACGAGTGCTTGCTTTAAAAATAAAGCAGTGAAGGGTTTGGGCACTAAAAAGTTTTAGCGTTCAAGTCTCGTCTTAAAATGCAAGTAAAATGATTGCTCCCAGCCCGCATGCTTCCCTAGTCTGCTGCGACACATCCACTTGTCCCCGGATTGGAACAGCGTGGGGAAACGTCCCTGCACCTCGCGGTGTAGACGCTGTTGGAGAAATGGGATCCTCTCTGCAAACTATTCGTTCGGGGCTTTCACAGCACTACGCAGCCGCCGCCTTTACCCAACTAACTGCTTCTAAAAGTAAAAGCAGCACTTGAAAGATCCGGTGCATTTTGAGAGGCACAAAGTTACAAAACAGTGTCGTCGCGCTCTCTCTCTCTCTGCTTTTAGTCTCTCAGCTGGCTGGGAGTTCAAATGAGATTGTCCTGGTATTTCAGGAGCGGAGTTATAGGGGCACGTTAAACCGCCTAAGTTTCCCAGCATCCCTGAAGGAACAGGATTTTTTTTTTTTTTAAACTCTCCTTTATGGCTCGTTTGTACTTCCAGTCCTTCCCTCTGATTAGTTCCAGCAGAATTTGTACCTTCTTTTTTTTTTTTTTTTATTTCGGCATATTATGGGGGTACAGATTTTAAGGTTTCAATAAATGCCCATTTCCCCCCCCCCGTCCCCCAAAAGTCTGAGTCTCCATCATGACCATCCCCCAGATGGTGCACGTCTCACTCGTTATGAGCGCCTTGAGGAGGCAGGGAGGCGGTATAGAGTTGCAGAGTGGCATTCAAAGGTGTAGGACTCAAGAGTTGAAATCCCAAGTCCTTCTAAGAAGCGCTGTGCAATCTCAAACATGTCCCTTGATTCCTAGAAGCCTCGATTTCTTCATCTGTAAGAGAGGGGATTGGCAAATCAGTTTTAGAAGGTGTTGCAAGGTCAGATGTAAGAGAGAGTTATTTGTACTCTATAAAATAGCTGCTCAGTCAGTGGCCGTTCTTTTCTTTACTAGATCTTGAAGATACTTCTTTCACACTGACATCTCATCTTTGTGCTTTTGGAAGTAATAAACCAAATGACCATCCTAGCAGAAAACTCTTAGGAGGCTACACTGATGATTGGGCACATCCTAGGAGTTGCCTGCACTTCTTGCCTTACAATGAAACGTTTTAATTTCACATCAGGAAAGACCGCCAGTAGGATGGGTCAATTTTAGAGCTGGGAATCTGAAGGAGATTCAGAAAAACTACAGGAGGCACACTGTGTCACAGTAGCAATTACCAAAATCCAATAATTAAATGTAGCCCCCAAAATAGTGCTTTTGGGTCCTCCACTATAACTACTAAAATATGACAGAATACCTGAGGAGGTCAGGCATGGTGGCTCATGCCTGTAATCCTAGTACTCTGAGAGGCCAAGGCAGAAGAATAAACTGAGGCCAGGAGTTGAGGTTGCTGTGAGCTAGGCTGATGGACACCACGGCACTGTAGCCTGGGTGACAGAGTGAGAAGAAAGAAGGAAAGAAAGAAAGAAAGAAAGAGAGAGAGAGAGAGAGAGAGAGAGAGAAGGGCGAAGAAGCGAAGGAAGGAAGGAAGGATGAAGGAAGGCGAAGGGAAGAAGGAAGGAAGGAAGAGGAAGAAGAAGGAAGGAAGGAAGGAAAAGAAAGAAAGGAAGGAAGGAAGAAGCGAAGGAAGTGAAGAGAGGAAGGAAGGACAGGAGGAAGAGGAAGGAAGAGAAGCCGAAGGAAGAGAGGAGAAAGAAAGAGAGAAAGAAAGAGAAAAAGAAGAAAAGAGAGAGAGAAAAGAAGAAAGAAAAGGAAAGAGAGAGAAAGAAAGAGAAAAAGCGAAAAGAGAGGAAAGAGAGAAAGGAAAGAAGAAAAGAAAGAAAAAAAGAAAGAAAGAAAAAAGAAAGAAAGAAAGAAAAGAAAAGACGAAAGAAAGGAAGGAAGGAAAAAAATCACAATTAAAATTTTTTAAAAATCTGAGGAAAGTGAGCATTTTGTGCTCATGAATGTGGGATTCCAGAGTCCCTGGCAGACAGACTACTGGAATAGATGTCAGAAGTAAAGAAGCATCAACTCTGCCCAGAGAAAGGAGAAAGGTAAAACCTGACGTGAACAGGCAGTCTAGTTTCCTACTCTCATCTGAGTTCTCGACCTCCAGCGCTCGGAATACGGGAGGCGGGGTTGATCGTTCTAATAACTTGGGGATGTTACAGGCATTCACAGAGGATGGCCCAGAGACACTAAACATGTTGCACAATAATAAATGTTCTTTTCCAAATGTTAGTGGTATCCCTATTAAGAAACACTGGAGGCCGGGCGCGGTGGCTCACGCCTGTAATCCTGGCACGGTGCTGGGAGGCCGAGGCTGGCGATTGCTCGAGTCCAGAGTCAAAAACCAGCCTGAAGCAAACCGAGACCCCTTCTCTCTATAATAAGAAGAAATTATTGGCAACTAATATATAAGAAAACTTAGCCGGGCATGGTGGTGCATGCCTGTAGTCCCAGCCACTTGGGAGCTGAGGCAGGAGGATTGCTTGAGCCCAGGAGTTTGAGGTTGCTGTGAGCTAGGCGTGACGCCACGGCATCCACTCCTAGCCTGGCAACAAAGTGAGACTCTGTCTCAAAAAAAAAAGAAACACTGGAGGCTTCTTAATCTTTTGGCTCACCAGAAGCTTTTTAATTCAAGGAAATTTATGGGCGCTCTCCTTAGAAAATACAGATGTAAATAAAACTCTGTTCATAATTTTGGTCTGCTGACCCCGGGAAGGGTATCACAGACTTCAAGTGAGAACAGCGGTTTGCAACCTCTTTAGAAGTGTAATGAGACAGTCTGTTACATCATTCGTTATACCAAACAGTGACCTATCAGACCTAAGGGACCAGCCTCAAAAGAGGGAAAAAACTGTCAGGAAAACCAACACCCTTGAACTTATCTTCAACTAAGTACACCTTCTAGAGAGATCTCTAGGGTGCAGATGTCTGAGCTGAGGTTGCCCTGAGGTACACACAGATGGCTGCTATTTTCCCCTCTACACCTTTTTGTCTGGTCTCATCCAACTCTTTGTTCAGGAAAACTTCTTTTCCATTACTTGTGGCAGGGTTATCCATCACGGTGCCATCTGCCACCCAATGGGGGTGGGTATGTGACCTAATCCTGACCCATGAGTGATCCCTCGAGGAATGGACAGGGACCCTAACATGACTTAGGAGTCCTACTTGGGACTTTTCTGCTGGGGCAACTGAAGAAGCATGTGTGATTCTTGGAAGCATGATGCTGGAAGGAAGAGAACCTAGAGCTACTTACTCTTGGCCACTTAGGGAGGCTGATTGAAGACGGGAGAGAATGAGATGAGATCAACAAAGAGAAGCAGAGGAAAGCAAAGATAAGAACCAGAGAGAAAAATACAATAACATTGTTTCACTTCCTTGTTCCAACCATATCCCAAGTCAGATATCCTTGGACTTTCCAGATATGAGAATCCTCCTGCCTGAAAAAGTATTTCCTTTTGCAGCAACTGTTTTGGTTTAAGTTTTTGTCACTTGCAACCACGACAGCTTTGAATAATCACCATAAAAACTTTCACTCCTTTAAATGGATAATTTTCTGCGGACTGCCACACCATTAATCCAAATAACAAAAAGTTGGCCACCTGATAGATGGGTGGCCATCTTGTAATCTCTCTTCATTAAACCCTAGAGATAGGTATCACTCCTAAAAATAGGTGATAAAAGTCAAAAGTTCCATACATTTAACCTGAGGACTGTGCGTATTAGATGTACAAAAGCAATAACTAGAGATTATAATCATTGCCATTAATATTACCTGTCTTTATGTAATACTTTACTTTTTATGTACACCTGTCACATGCACCTTTCATTTGAGCTCACAAAAATCCTGCAAAAATGGATAGGCCAGGGTCCCCATTTTACTGTGTATTGAATATGCGGTAGGTGTGTGTATGGCATTGTGTTAAGTACTCAGACTGCAAAAATATATTTGACCTCCTCCCTGCCCTCATGGGGCTCCCAGTCCAGGAGTAGAGTCAAGGCTTGTATTAATAATACAATGAGAAACCACACACAAAGGAGCAGCGCCAAGCAGCACATAACTGGTGTGTGATTTGTACTCTCTTATCCTCTTAGCTCAACAACTATTTATGGAGCGTCTACTCTGTGCCAGGCACAGTGTGCCCTAGCTCTGGGGAAATAGCAGTGATGACACATGTGTGGTTCCAGTACTCAGGACATGATCCCTGCCTTTTTAGGAATAGGAATGGATATGATTTAATGGATAGATAGATAAGTAAATGATACAAGTGTCTAAGAAAAGACCAACCACTGAGGGCAGGGATAGTAATGAAGAATTCTTGGAGGAGATATGACTAAGCTAGATCTTAAAAAAGAAAAGAAAAGAAAAATCTAGGTATGTGAAAACTAAATGTAATCAAGCCTCTAAATCTTGAGAGAGGAAAATGTCGATGACACCACTTGGATACAATTAGACAACCCAGAGATTGAGAAATTCTGTGAGTCATTGAAAACATTATTCTAAAAGTAAATTGCTTCTCCAAGTATGCCGGGGCCAAAAATAAAAAAATAAAAAAAAAAAATAAAAGTAAATTGCATGAAATGAAGAGGAAGAAAGAACTGTTATAGGTTTTAAAAGATTTAAGAGACATAAGAGGGATGTGAATTATATCCCAATAAAAGATAAATTAGAGGCCTGGCATGGTGGCTTGGGCCTATAATCCTAGCATTCTGGGAGGCCAAGGCGGGAGGATTGCTCAAGGTCAGGAGTTCAAGACCAGCCTGAGCAAGAGTGAGACGCCGTGTCTACTAAAAATAGAAAGAAATGAGTAGCTAGACAACTAAAAATATATAGAAAAATTTAGCTGGACATGGTGGTACATGCCTGTAGTCCCAGCTACTTGGGAGGCTGAAGGATCACTTGAGCCCAGGAGTTTGAGGTTGCTGTGAGCTAGGCTGATGCCACGAGGAACAGAGTGAGACGGTGTCTCAAAAAAAAGAAAAAAAAGATAAATTGGAAAAAAAGAGTCATATCACTCAAATTCATTGTGCAGACTTTATTTAGACTCTGATTCAAGCAAACCAATTATAAAAGTTCATTTTGAGGAAAACTGGGAGAGTTTGAACATGAAGTAGAATTGAATGATGTTAAAGAATCATTGTTAATTTTAACTGTGTGATAGTATTGTGCTTATCTTATTTTTTTAAGTTCTTGTCTATCAGAGATACATATAAAGTATTTTATATATATATATATATCAGTTGGCCAATTAATTTCTTTCTATTTATATTAGAGACGGGTCTCGCTCTTGCTCAGGCTGGTTTTGAACTCCTGACCTTGAGCAATCCGCCCACCTCGGCCTCCCAAGAGCTAGGATTACAGGCGTGAGCCACCGCGCCCAGCCCATATAAAGTATTAATGGGTGAGACGATATGATACCTTGGAGCCGGCATAAAACACTCCATCTCCTCTTCATTTTTCCCCAAAAAGGCACGGGAAAGGAAAGGTGAAACGTGAATGGTACAGAATGCTGAATCTGGGTGGACAGGTTGTTAGAACTCGCTATACTGTTCTTTCTTACTTTTGTGTAAGTTTGAAAATTTCCATGATCAAAAAAAATTTTTTTTTTTACAAAGCGAAAAATAAGAGAGAGGAAACTATCACAATGACTTTTTAAAAATGAGTTACAGTTTCTGATGAAATTACATAAAAAGACATGTCACTTAAAAAAAGAAAACGGACATAAGGAAAATATGGAAACAGAGTTGTGCATAGTCTGTTTGGAGAAAAGACCTCACAGTAACTGACTATGGTCGACTTCAACAGAAAGGAATTTACCAAAAGGGTACTAAGTAGCCCA